CTCCGAGGCAAGTAGCTGCCACCTGCTGCCGGCCAGCGACCTCTCCAGTTCTGGCCCCTCAGGTGCGCACCAGCCGAGGACTCGCGGCCCGTCCTTAGGACACTCTTCCTGATGGTCCATAACCTGGAGGGCCCGCGGCTAATATACAAATGCCCAGCATAACGAGGACTCGAGAGTGGCCCCTTTCTTACCCGGCCACCATGGCCTGAATCTGGGGGTCTCAGTCCCTTGTTTTCTTTTTCCTTTTTTTTAAAAACAACTTCGAGATGTAATTCACCTATCATACAAGTCACTCGCTTAAATCGTTAACATTCAATAACAGTATAATCAAAGCTGAGCAACCACCCACACTATCAAATCCCAAAACCTTTTCCACACCCCTAAAGGAAACCCCACTCCTCAGCCCCCTCCCTTTCGTTCCCCGCAACCACTCATCTACTTTCTGACTAGGATTCACCTGTTCTGGACGGCTCATTGGATGGATTCATACAACATGCGTGTGTCTTTCGTGTCTGGGTTCTTTCACGGAGCATAATGTTTTGAGGGTTCATCCATGTTCTAGCAGGTATCAGTACTTCGTTTCTTTTTAGGGCCAAATAATATTTCATTACATAGATATGCCACATTTTATGTATCCTTTCTGAATTGGTAGACATTTGGATTGTTTTTATCTTTTGGCTACTCTGAACATTAGTGTACAAGTTTTTGTGTGAACACATTTTTCATTTTCCTTCTACCTAGGAGTGGAATTGCCAGGTCACATGATAACTCCATTTTTAGCTTGAGAAAAATGGCCAAACTGCTTTGGAAAATAGCTGCACCATTTTACATTCCCACCAGCAGTGTATGAGGGTTCCAACTTCTCCACATCCTCACCAATACTTATCTGATTTTTTGTTTCCGGCCATCCTAGTGGATGTGAAATGGCATCTTGTATTTGGTTTGCATTTCCCCAATGACTAATGATGTTGAGCATCTTCTCAGGAGCTAACTGGCTATTCGTATGTCTTCTTTGATCTACAAAGAAATCTGAAATGTCTATTCAAGTTCTTTGCCCATCTTTTAATCAGGTTTCTGTTGTTGTTCTTGTTGACTTGTAGAAGTTCTTTGTGCATTCTGGATATTAATCCCTTCTACATGTGATTTGCGAATATTTTCTCTCATTCCGTGGCTTCTATTTTCATATTATTGATAGTGTACTTGAATGCACAGAAGGTTTACATTTTGATGATGTCTGATTTATCTTTCTTCTGTTTCTTGTGCTTTAGTTGTCATATCTAAAAAACCATTGTTTCATCCAAGGTCACGAAGATTTACTCCTACGTTCTATTCTAAGAGTTTTCTATTTTTTGCTCTTCAATTTAGGTCTCTCATCCACTCTGGGTTAGTTTTAGTATATGATGTGAGGTTGTGCTCCAACTTCATTCTTTTGTATGTGGCTACTATTCAGTTGTCCTAAAACCATTTCTTGAAGACACTATTTGTTCCCCCACTAAATGGTCTTGGCAGCCTCATCAAAAAAATCAATTGACAATAGATACGTGGGTTTATTTCTGGACTCTCAATCCTGTTCCGTTGATCTATATGTCTATCTTTATGCCAGTACCACACTGTCTCGATCGCCATAGCTTTGCAGTAAATTTTGAAATCAGAAAGTGTGAATCCTCCAAATTTGTTCTTTTTCAAGAGTATTTTGGCTATTCAGGGTCCTTAGCAATTTCATGTGAATTTTAAGGTGAGTTTGTCAGTTTCTGCCAAAAAAGCCAGTGGGAGTTTGATAGGGATTAAATCGAATCTGTACGTCAATTTAGGAAATGTTGCCATCTTAACAAGATTAGGTCTTTCCGTCCATGAACATGGGATGTTGTGATGTTATGTGTTCATTAATTTCAATTTTGCTTGTCTGTAGTCCCAAGCGGTTTCACCAAACACTCATCTAGATATTGCTGTGAAGATATTTTGTACATGTGGTCAACATCGAGTCAGTTGGCATTAAGTGAAGACGACCCTCCATAACGTGGGTGGGTCTCGTTCACTCAGTTGAAGGCCTTACCAGTAAAAATTGAAGTTTCTTGGAGAAGAAGAAATTCTGCCTCAACACTGTAATGTAGAAAGCTTTCCTGAGTCTCCAGCCTGCTGACCTGCCCTACAAATATTGGACTTGCCAACTTGCCAGCCCCCACAATCTCATGAGCTAATTCCTCAAAATAAATTTGTGTGTGTGTGTGTGTGAGTGCGCGCGTGTGCGCGCGCACGCGTGCATGCACACACGCGCGTGCTCTGTTCTGTTTCTCTGGAGAACCCTGACTAAGCTGTTCTGTTTCTCTGGAGAACCCTAAACAGATGTCTTTATTTATTTAGGTCTTCTTCAATTTCTTTCAATGATGTTTTGTAGTTTTCAATGTAAAAATCTTGCACTTCTTTTGTTAAATTTATTCCTATGTATTTTATTCTTTTCGATGCTGTTTATTAATGGAATCGCTTTCTTAATTTCATTTCAGATTATTCATTGCTAAGGTTTAGAAATGCAATTGATTTTTGCGTAACGATCATTTATCCTGCAACCTCGCTGAACTTGTTGATTAGCTCATAGATTTTTAGTGCATTTCTCAGGATTTTACCTGTACAAGACTATGCCATCTGAGAATAGAGTTTTACTTCTTCCTTTCCAATTCGAATACCTTTTATTTCATTTTGTTGCTTAATTGCCCTGGCTAGAACCTCCAGTCAAATGTTGGATAGGAGTGGTTGCTTTCTGTTTCATTTTCTCATTTGAAAGTATTTCAGACTTACAGAAAATCTGTAAGAATTGTAGAGAGAGCTCCCATGCACCCTTAACCCAGATTCACCAGTACAGGCATACCTCATTTTACTATGGTTTCTTTTTTACAATCTGAAGGCAAGACCCTCCACCTTCAAAAAGATTATGACTCGCTTTATTGCAAACCCATGATATTTCTGAGGTTTTCCTGAAGTTTGTATTTTGCCCCATCTGCTTTCTCATTGTCTCTCACACACACGTGTGTGCATGTGTACGTATATATTATATATAAAAATGATATTTTAATGAACTATTTCCAAGTAAGTTGTAGATACCTTGCCCCTTTAACCCTCAATACTTTACTCCGTATTTTATAACCCAGTATCATTACTATATCCTCTTACGTAATCATGGTATAACTATCAACATCGAAAATGTTAATGATACGGTGACATTATTCAATCCAAAGTCTTATTCAGATGTCACTACCTGTCCCCACAATGTCCTTCCTTCGTAGCTTTGCTTTTTCTCATCCAGGATCCAGTCTAGGATCCCACGGTGCATTCAGTCATCACGTCTCTTTAGTCCCCTTTAATCTGGAACATTCTGCTTTTCTCAGCCTTTTATGACATAGATATCTTTGAAGAGTGCAGACCAGGTATTTCGTAGAATGTCTCCCAGTTTGGGTTTGTCTAATTTTCTTCTCCTGATGGGATTCAGGCTGCGCGGTACTGGGAGAAAGCCCCGCCCCCTGGTCCTGAGCCCGGGGCCCTCTCACTGCTTATCAGGGAGGCATGCTCTGTCTCCTTATCCCTTCACTGCGTGGCCACTTTGAGCGCTTGCTTTAAGGTCATGACTACCAGTGTCTCAAGTGGCTACTTATTATTTTTCCCTTTGTAACTAAAAAGTAGTTTGTAGGAGATACTTTGAAACTGAGTAAATATTCTGTTCCTTGTCTCGCTGTCACCCAGTCATTCTTGCCTGCATCAACGATGACTCCGATGGTTGCAAAATAGTGATTTTCTCCCTCCACGACACCTCTTGCATTTTCTGTTGACATTCTACTGTCAGAAAGATCTCCCCTGTTTTTCTGTGTATTCATTATCAGTATGGACTCCTTGATATTGATTTTATTCGAGGGATTAGAATCCATTATCGCTAACTATTCATTTTGATGCTCCAATTGTCCAAGATTTGGCCCCTTCAGGCTGGCTC